TTTTTGTCACTTCGTTTTCATATGACACGAAACTTTCAGAGTTTTGTTGCAATAGCAGGGTTGGAAAGTTCCTGCAGTCTTTGTTTTTAATTTCTTCCTTCAATTGTTTCAACTTACGCTTGAAAGCATTTATGGAGGACATCATATCCAAAATATTTTTGTCTTTTCCTTGCAACTCCAGGTTTATATCGTTGAGGTGCTTTGTAATGTCGACTAAGAAAGCCAAATCGCTCTGCCATTTTCTATTTTTCAGCATTTCAACATCGTCTCCTCTGGCTTCTAGAAATATTATTATTTCAGGCAGTAACTCATGAAATCTTGCAAGGAATCTTCCACGACTTAGCCACCTTACATCTGCGTGAAGAAGTAAATCAGTGTGCTTGAATCCGCTACTTTCCAGTTGTGCTTTGAATAATCGCCGCTGCGAATTTCTCGCTCGCATGGAATTTGCTACTTTGAAGGCTATCGTCATGACATCTTTTATGTTTAATATTTTTCCACAAAATGCTTGTTGATGAATCACACAGTGAAAAGCGAAAAAGCTCGGAAATTCTTCATTAGCTCAACACAGTGCGATGAATCCATTATGGTTGCCTGTCATGTCTGGAGCTCCATCTGTGGTTATGCATACAAGTTTATACAGCGGCATTTGTGCTTCTTGTGTTTACTTTAGAAATTAATTATAGATATCTACTCCTCGAGTACATTCTTTCAACGCTATCATTGTTAAAAAGTCTTCTTTAACAATCGTATCTGGAAAGACCATGCGTATTAAAATACACAGTTGCGCCACATCTGTTGCGTCTGTGGATTCACCAAATTGGAGTGAAAAGTAAGAGCAGTCTCTGAGATCATTCATAGTTTGACTTTCCAAGTTCTTGTTTATTGTTTCCACACGTCTAATCACGGTTTGCCGGGATAGTTGAATATCTTTAATGGTTAAAATTATTTCAGCTTTGTTTTTGAAATTTACGAACAAAGACTCAGCTGCTTCGAGAAAGCATTCTTTTATCATCACTCCATCATCAAATGGCTTCTTATTTTTAGCTAAAATGTGGCTTATTTTGTATGATGCAATAGTAGCCGCTTTGGACTTCTCCAACGGTTTTGTAAACATGGCTTGTTCACCTGCCAAACAACGCTTCATGTCTTTCAATTTAGATTTTCGTATATCACTGTGACGTGGAAAGCTGTCTTCATGTTTTTTTATGTACGGTTTTATAATGTCTCTCCAAATTACCTCGTTTTGGTGTGGCGATGGCAAATCGGCATATCAAACATACACATTTTTCTTTTACCATAGTGAAGAAAAACTCTTCTTCCCACTCAGGATTGAAGTGATACGTTTTGGATTTCTTCGGCCCACTCATTGTTTCAGGGATTCACGGTTCTCCGTCTACAAACAATAAAAAACACACGTGTAGCAACTTAAGAGCCTGATAGCATGAATTAATTATAACTATGTTTTATACATGATTTCAGCAAAAACATATATAAAATTTTTGACTTGTTCCTAAAGGACTAGTATCCAGGAACGCTAAAAATAAAAAAAAATATGACAATAATTGCATCTCTTCACAAACAATTAATATTTTGTTGCAGAAATCATGTATAAAACATAGTAATGAAATAACTTATTATAATGATGTAATTAATAGTTTTTTCTATTTACCTTTTAAATAATATTCAATTTATGATTTTGTCGCCTTTTAGCTGCTATCTTGTTAACTTTCGCAATGATACGTACGTGACTGCACTGAATGCTTATTCGCTCACTGCCTGCTGTTGCTGTCGTCGTCGCGAATCAAACGACTCCCTGCCCGCGCGCCCCCGCACCGAAGGGTAGGGTCAGATGTTGTGGTACAGTCTTCATAATTCTTTATACTTTTTTTTTTTAACAATAAACTACCTGTGTCATTTCATAAAAATTTTTCCTCGGCGATCGACTTTGAAAGCCTTCGCGATCGACCGGTCGATCGCGATCGACCGTATGGGCACCCCTGCTCTACAAGCTATACCTATGCTGAGTAGCATCAAAAATAGTTAATACTAGAATAGTAAACTTTGTATGGGTGTATATACCAAATTAAAAATACAGGGCGTTCCGATGTTATGCTACTGAAATGCTGATTTTCTTCATATTGAATGTTTTTAGATTATGCAGTACATTGTTACACTTATCTTTCAAAAAAAAAAATAATAAAGCATTAAAGACGACACCCTTTATGCATATTGTTACGTTTTGCTAATAATAAACGTTTTTATAAAAAATGTTACGTTTTCAAAGTTACGTTATAAAAACACATTTTGCACCAGATGATCGTTTCTAACCCTAACCTGGGTCTCATTGTAAAAATCCTTATAATAAGAATTCTTACAAGCCTCAGGCCTAGCTCAAATCAAAATAGGTCAGTGGGATTCGTTTAGAATTTACCTTCAAGTCAATGACAAGGTCTTTAATTAAAAAGACTTAAAAGAATTCAATTAAATTAATTTGGGCGCCATACATTTAGATGTATAATAAAAGTAAATTTTTGTCAGTTGAAAGTAAGAAAAAAAAAAACTTAAATTTCAAAACAATTAATCGGCTTTAATTTCGAACTTGACTGATGACTGATATTACATATAAAAGAAAATAAAATTAATTGATTTTAACACATTTTACGGTTTACAGTTCATCAAATTTCTAGAGGTGTTCGACGCCCAGACAGAGAACGCGCTACGTGTGAATAAGATAGCTATTGTACAGTCTGCTAAACAAGTTATTTTAAATAGTTTTTAATATTTTTAGGTAATTAAATTTTAAAAGTGTGGAATAGTTTAGGGATTAAATTGGTCTGATTGGACTTTCTTAGAACGTTTTTAAAAGCAGCTAAAGATAGTATGTAGAATTGAAAATAATTATTATGCCATAAAAGCTGTTTTGGATTTCTTTTAACCTTTTGAAATTGAGTCAGAAAATATAAATTTTATAGGATAGCGGAAAATACCTATAATTTTTTTTGTAGGCCTTTGTAAATCGTGGAAATAGTTTATATTTTATTTCTACCTTATTAAGGAAAATGGTACCTATTATTAATAACGGTTGTTTCTGTAACATTACTAAAATTTTCGAAATTTTGTTTTTCTACAAAATAATAAACTATACTATTTAGAAAAAAATTTATTTCTCTTATAATTTTATAAAAAATAACAGGGGAATATTTACATTTCTTGATCTATTAAACAAAACGATAAATTATCTCGACGAATGACACCATGTTCTAGTACGGAAGCTAGCTTTACATTTTTGTTGGTGGTTTCATGGGTTTCATATCAATTTTTTGTAATTGTAGTTTACACGTACATATACATCTTAATACTTGTTTGCTTTATTAAAAAAGTGTGTTGTGATTTACGTCGAAATAAGTCAAAAACAACTTGAAACCCCATATAAAATCAAAAAGGAGAAACGGAAAAAAATTGAGCCTGTAAATGAACACAACTCAGAAACAAAAATAGCTATCTAATAATAAAAAAATAAAATTTGATTCTTGTGCAGCTTCATCTATATCATTAACTGTTTTTGGTTTTTTAATGGTTTTTCTTGGTGATGAAAATTCCGATATCTCACGGTTATCGATTCTTTTTTTCTCTCCAGAAATGCGGACGACAGTGTTTTTAGATACTCCTGTGGCTGCAGCAACACGATCATTTACATTTTTAAATGGTATTGAAGGTGAATTAAAGTTTCCTTCTCTTCTCATAAACTCTATAACATTGGCTATTATTTCGCGAGATTGACTGTTAATCACGCGGCCTCTTAATTTGCTATTAAACTCCATACTTAGGTTCTATTAAACTGTAATGAGCAAAAAACACAAACGAAAATAAAAGAAATGTTTTAGCGAAATTTACATCTGACATTTACGTCTGAATGAAATAGTGAAATACTTGATGCGCAGAGTGTACTTTCATTGTGTAAATCCGTCGGGATGCCTGTCAGTAGTGCTTTCTCTGTCTAGCCGTCGAAAGCCTCTAGAAATTTGATGAACTGTACGTTTGACTAATGATGAGTTTAAAATTAAAATTGACTAGTGACTCAAAAATTGTGTGTGTGGTCCTGGCCGACACTTATCTTGTGTTTCCCGATTTCAACGGTCGAACTGGTCTGGTCCGTGTCTTAATGGTAGGTGAGCCGTGAGCCTACGATGACTTCAAAACACTGCAGTTCCTTTTCTTAATGGTAGGTGAGCCTACGATGACTTCAAAACACTGCAGTTCCTTACGCAACTCAGTCCAAGATATTCCGCAGCTCTAGTGGCAACTAGCTGACAATGATTCTGCAGTTCCAGATTACAAAGGCCAACTCCTTAGCTTGTCACAGACCCAGCTCCTTATTTTGTTCCAGATCCAGTTCCTTATTTTGTTCCAGATCCAGTTCCTTAGTTTATTCGGACACAAAGCACTAAAATCAACCAGTTAATTTCGCTGCTAGATTAAAAAAGAACAGAAGCCGATCGAATATGAAACGTGGGATTTCAAATCCATAAGTAAGCAAGGCGCACGCACAACATCTGACAAAAATTATTGATTTTTAGAGACGGACATTTGGATATCCATATTAGATCCGCTGGATATCTATAATATCCTGTGGATATATTGGATATCCACATAAGATATTCTGTGGATATCTCTGTGATTTGGTGTGTTGTCTGGGTATAGTATTTTTTTTATTAGGTTTTTTATTTGTATTGTTTCCGTTTCGTTCAATGGGTAAACGCTGTTTTGATTATTTTCTAAAAAATACAATAAAATTAAAAAACAATACATTTGATAACGACTTCACGTTTCAGTAGGACCACCTTGTGGTAAAACTTTACTTGATGGCGAATCATCACCTGTCATCATATTCTCCTTATCCGGCGCTTTCACCTCAAGGCTGCATATACCTATTGATTAAGTGCCTTATTATATACTTCATGCAAGCATAAATAATAAGCTGATGTACCTACATATATCTGTTTATACCTTATGCAATAGTGCATCGCTTTACATTTTGTAAGACACGCAATACTTATTGCATTGATTGTGAGTGATTAAATTGGAGAAAACCGAACACTACGTATTTAGGTAAGGTAAACTTTATACATATATTGGAATAAATATTATAAATACCGAAGAGAAAATCTTAAACAAGAAAATAAATAATAAATAATATTTTCAAATAATCAAAAAATTAAAAAAATATGAAACAGTTTTGTTATCTGAAAAAGTTTACAGAATTAAATATGCAAAAAAGTTATAACAACTTTTTCAGTTTTAAAAGAAATTAATCATTTTCATAGTGGTAAATATCAAGTCAAATTAAACTGAGAACAAACCTAAAGTTAATTTGTTGGCTTGCTTTTTAGTAAAGCTTTTAATTGTATTAAATATACAGCATGTTTATTTAAAATATATGCTTATGAAAAACAAACAAGAATTTATGAGTTTGTTCGTATATTACGAATTTAGTGCAACGGTAATGATTCTTTATTTTTAACAAAAAGAGAAAAATTTTATTAAGAAAAGAAAATTAAATATGATAACGCCGTTCCGGTAAAACAATGACGCAACTGCAAAATTATAATCTTTACAGGAGAGCGGAAAAACGATTCTGAATTATTGGTAATTAAGTTTTAAAGAAGTATTTATGTTTTATTTGCAATAACTTTTAAGGAAATGTTAGTTAAGTATAGACAATTTAAACTGACACAAATTGGAATCAAGTAGTATTTACTTTTACCATTGATCTTGTAATTGCATCATTATTTGGCCAAAAATGTACAATGAAAATGCCGCACTTGTGTCAATATATTTTTATTAGGTAAGTATAAAAAAAAACATTTTAGTGAAGTTTAAGAAACTTCCAGCGGTAATTCTTTTATACCTAAGTTGAAGTTGTTCAATAAACGAACCTAAGAAATATCGCTGCCTCTGTAATAAGGCAATCTCCCAATATTCCTTAAAAAGCAGGCTGAGCTCTATCATTTTCAGAAACCATCTCGGAATATGCAAGTACACATTTTTCTGGACGAGGTGGTCCCATCTCTTTTGCAGGCATCACTTTTTCAGTTCTAGACTTATAACTTTTTCCGCTGTTCTTCAATCTTTTTGCTTTTACGCTTACTATCAGTGTTAGAAATACCAAGTAATGTAAGTACTTTCGAATCAGTATTTAAAGCTAAACATCCAGGCAGTGCAGAAGTAGTTAAATCACCATGATCTTAATTTAAAGAAAGAGCAAGATTTACTAATTTTTCAGTTCTTTAACTCATCTCCTAACCGCTTCTGCAAACAAAGTAAAACATCAAATTGCAACTAAACAGGTCTTGATGACCAATATACGTAAACTGACTAATTTGTTAAAATAATTAATAGAAATTTCATGATCGGTTATTAACGTGATTTGACGTTTATATGTTTTTTCAGCTTATGGAAATAATTTTACGTTTTAAATGTCAAAACACGTTAATATAAATGATAAGAGAACATAATAATGTTCTTAGAATAAATTTTTATAATGGCGACTACACTATTATAAATCAGTATTTACAAAATTAAAATCAAATATTTTACCCTGTACTTTTAAAACTCTACACAAATTGGGTACCATCTTAATTTATTTTTAACCACTGCATTTTACAATAAAAAATTGAACATCTACACAGGACCGGGCTTACTTTATTTGATAAAGTAACAGAACAAACCAACAGAAACAAATAATTAATTTAAACTAAAGTAAATTTTCAAAATAAACACCGTAAACGTCAATACACCTCTGCGAACGTTTAAATAGGTTTTTCACTGATTTGTCAATTATTTCCGGTTTATTTCTAATGTTTTTGCATACATTATTAATTTTTTCCAATAACTGTGATCGGGTATATATTTCTTAGTTATACACCTCTGATTTAAGGTAGCCCCATAAAATATAATCCAGAGGTGTTAGATCTGCAGATCTTGGTGGCCAATTGGTGGGATCGCCTCGACCTATCCAGCGACTTGAACACACATTAAATGTTTGTTGTGGAGTTTTTAAAAAAATCACTTAATACCCAAGCACAGTTAAATCATCGTGTCCCAAATAGATGGATAGGTCGAGGCGGTCCCGACAATTGGCCATCAAGATCTTCAGATCTAACACCCCTGGATTATTTTTTATGGGGCTAACTTAAATCAGATGTAAACAACGAAGAAATGAATACCCAAGCACAGTTATTGGAAAAAATTAACAATGTATGTAACAACATTAGAAATAAACCGAAAATAATTGACATATCAGTGAAAAACCTGTTAAAACGTTTCCAGAGGTGTACTGACGTTCACGTTTTTTATTTTGAAAATCTACTTTTGCTTTATTTAATCATTTGTTTCTGTTAGTTTGTTCTATTACTTTATTAAATAAAGTGAGCCCGGTCCTGTGTAGATGTTCAACTACCTAATGGAAAATGCTGCAGTTAAAAAAAATGAAGATGGTACCTAATTTGTGTAGAGTTTTAAAAGTAGAGGTAAAATATTTGTTTTTAATTTTGTAAATACTGATTTATAATAATGTAGTCGCCATTATAAAAATTTATTGTAAGAACATTAAGATCGAGCCATTAAATATTATTACATTATTTTGTTTGTTGGTCCATGTACTATTTAAATGTGTAGTAACATTTATTAAAATCCGATATACAGGGTGATATTCTAGCTAAGAAGGGCAATATAAAAAAAGAGAATCCGGTCCTGGAATTTTTTAAAATTAAATTATGGTTTTTATTAACCTAAGAGGGTGTAACTTTTGTACAAAATTTTGGTAAAAAGTCATAAAACACCCTATATCTCAAAAACGAGTAAGAGTAAATGTTAAGTTTAGGGGTGTTTTGAACTCTAGCTAGCTAAGTGTACTCTACCTTCTATTAAGCTGTGTCCGTTTAAATCTGAAACACCCTGTATAATAGAGAGATATTGCAAATTTATATAACGTCAGCCACTAATAGTGACAACTTAATTAGTAGCAAATAAATTCCATGCTTAAATAAGACTTATTGCAAACCTGAAATCATTGTCCTTATATATATTTGTAACTTCATTTTAAGAATTTTAAATCAAAGTTCATCTTTTTTGTTGTCTATACTAGTACATAAACATAATACAGAAGATGCATTATAAATTACCATTTTAGAAGGTTTAGATAGACGATAATATTATATATTAATATTAAAAAAACTTCGACCTGATGTAACCTACAAAATGAACTTGGTGATTCCACCAAAATTTTTAAACTTAAAAAAAAATTATTAAAGTATTAACTACAATTAAAAATGTTGTCTACTACGGTTACACAAGTTTCGGTTGTTCCGGTGTCAACCTTCGGGCCTTCGACGTCGCTCAGACGGCAGCTAGGGGGTGGATAGCTTACAAAAATTCCGGAAATAGTAGACAAATAAATAGGCGCCAACTGGGTCTATATAGTGGCCAAACTATGATCCTATTTCCCCAAAAACCCAGTAAATGAGGAAAGAAATAAAAGACAAACCTCAACTTATGTTCCTTTATAAAGAAAAAAAAAATATTTAGTAAATATACAAACTAATTACCTGATGGCTTAGATAATAAAAAAAAAAGTTGGAGGAAATTAAAAGGAAAAACTTACACAGTGTATGTATATGCATAACCCAAAAAAATTAATAAATGTATCAAAGTATGGAACGGTTCGTCGTTAGCTTGGTACCAGGCATGACGCTTGCGCAAAACATTAATTTCCACCTTACATAAAAAAAATATAATATAATAGTTAACTTAAATATTGTGCATCACCGTACCTATACTACTTCATATATTATAAAAACAGTAAACTTATAATCTTTATAATCTTATAACCCTCTCCAAATTGGAAGGCGATATCTGCTTAACTTTTGGTTAAGACCAAACTACCCAAAAGAAAATTATTAAACCATGAAATTTTATAATTAAGTATAATTCATAGAACTAAATAAAAATATCAAAAAAAATAATAAAAATACAACATATAAAGGACTTTAGACAGAGGTTATTTAATTAAACTCCCAGATTGGAAGAGGTTACTTAATCTCTGCCCCCACACGGGTCTTCTGAGATTGCTTAACTTATAGTTAAGTCTGGTCCATTTAATAATGAATAAATTGAATAAAGTAAAATTATGGCAGTAGCCCTTAATAACTGAAGAATTACAACTTAAACGTGGAAGCAGTCCAAGTGTTCTGCGACCCGAAGGATTACTACATCAGCATTAAGTACTTAAATTAAGTAAAAATTTAAAATATTAATCAATTAAACGATGTAACATTTGATAATACTTAAGTTATGAGTGAAAGAACCCTAGAACATTCTATGCTCAAAAGTATAAATAATGTTGAGAATACCTTGACAACATTCGGTTGAAAGTGAATGTATAATTTAACAATGCACGCATGAAACCTTCAATATAACGTATAAGAAAAACCTGATAGTAGGGTGTCTTCTTTCACAGCATTCCCATCTTCCTATCCAGAACAAGAAACATTCTTGTAAATCTAGCTACAAGTAAACTAGGTGGCTAGCATACCAATGTTCTGTGTCCCCTCGATGAGTCCACGATGAAACCGTTGAACTCCGGACGATATAACCCTCTGTGTACAACTGTTGAAATCCTGGGTCAACAATCCCTTGGGTCAAACTGTCGTCGAATCCTGGGCTAACAACCCCCTGGGTTAAACCCTTAAAATATTACAAAGAAAAATGTCAATACACACTGACTCAAGTATCCCGAACTATAGGATTACCCAAAAATGTACATAAACTAGAAAATATTCAGTATCTAGGATAAAGAAAAACTACATTGGCTCAACAGTGAGTCATAAACAGTATTATGAGCTCCAATAATTAAAATTCTGTTACACATGGTTGGTAACATAACCTAATATATACAAAACATACCTTTTTCGTAAAGGGTTAACTTGGTAGCCTTTCAAGGATGAGAACCACGTGAGATGATTCACAGCACAACAATATTCCACACTCCAAATGCTGTGAACGTCCAATTCTTGCGTTAAAATCCTATATTAGATATGGGCTGGACCAAT